CCTTCCAGATTTTACAGGGCGATCCCAAACTGGCCAGATACGCGTGCAGAAATTAAGGCCAAAAAATATAAAACCTACACATGAGATGAAAGAGTGTAGAACCCCAGACCAGGATGTGGCAGTGTTGTGGAGGCATCAAACTGGGGATTAGCTGATTTTTAATCTCCATATGTATAGCAGATTAAGCGCTCTGATTCTTGCAGATTTAACCCGTTAACTGTGTTGTGTTAGAATAAGGGTAGGGAGAGAAGCACTGAAGTTTAGGGTTAATTTTGGTAACGGTAGTACATCGTTACAGACGGGTTAACTATATTTAAAAAAAACACTTGGATTTTTCAAACGTACACGTTGAGTTGAGTGAAGGAAGGGGTAATAAGCTCTGGTCATGTATCTATGTTCTGGTCATGTATCTATGTTCTTGTCATGTATCTATGTTCTGGTCATGTATCTAAGCTCTGGTTAAGTATCTAAGCTCTGTTTATATTCACGTCATGAAAGTGATTTCTGCTTACACTAACTACTACAATTACATCAATGACGTACTAGCTTTATCTACTCTTGTTGATAGCAATGTCGTTACATTGAGAGCCAGATAAACCAGTGCTGCCACTAACAGATAAACCAGTGCCGCCACTAACAGATAAACCAGTGTCGCCTCTAATTCTAACAGATAAACCAGTGCCGCCACTAATTCTAACAGATAAACCAGTGCTGCCGCTAACAGATAAACCAGTGCCGCCACTAATTCTAACAGATAAACCAGTGCCGCCACTAATTCTAACAGATAAAACAGTGCCGCCGCTAATTCCCATCATTCGCGTGAATTGTAAATTAGGGTGGGAGGTGTAGATGTAGGAGACATTTACTCCAGTGTGCTAATGTTGTCGAAGGACATAAGACAAGCACCCACAGCTTAATATATGGGGTGAGGAGTGGGGGGTGGGGGAGGAGGAGTGCCAATATTCACAACACTTCGCAGATAATTTCATGTGTTACGGTAGGGTGGTGACTGGTGGAGGGGGGGGGGGGGCTGAGAGAGCTAATATTCACAACACATCCCAGAATATTTAATGTCTTGTGGTAGAATAGGGGTCAGGGTGCAGGGGGGGGGGGGGGGAGGGGCGTGCCAATTTTCTCAACACATTCCAGAAAATGTCATGTCTTGTGTTAGGTTAAGGGTTAGGGTGAGGGGGGGGGTGCCAATATTCACAACACATCCCAGCAAATTTCATGTCTTGTGTTAGGTTAGGGGTTAGGGTGGTGGAGGGTTAGGGGGGGGGGGGGGGGGGCGTGCCAATATTCACAACACATCCCAGCAAATTTCATGTCTTGTGTTAGGTTAGGGGTTAGGGTGGTGGAGGGTGGGGTGGGCGTGCCAATATTCACAACACATCCCAGCAAATTTCATGTCTTGTTGTGGACTGTTCTTTAACGTGTAGTCTGAATTAATTGAATAGATTTTATGAGGCTTCAGTCGGATCTCTCCTAGTCCACCCGGCATCGTTTCCTGTCGCCAATCTAAGGGCATTAATCCAGCACGGAGCGGGGCCTCCCTGCTTTACGGGACGGGGTTGTCATTGTAAAATACAGACCGTTCTAAACCACGGACCAAATATTCATTGATATGCATGAGTTCATTTACAGCCTTCGGTCGGTAGGGGTGAAAAAAATGTCTCTATTGAAGAATATTTTTTTTCTAGTAAGAAAATCTAGTCACCATGATATATTTTGTTAGATCCTCTTGATATAGTTTAATGATAGTATATTCTTTTCAAGTACCTTAGAAAATCTTGACTTTATTTTAAGGTTAAATTTTTATTTCCAGTTTGTTTCGTTTTAGAAGTTATGTTTGACGTTTGTTTGGTCTACAAAAACTGTAGGTGACTACATATTATATTCGATACTGTTGAGCTACAATCTTACAGCCGAAGATATAGCTAGTATTTCAACATCACACAGACGCTCTATGAAGCTTATAGGGGAATATTTAAACAGCTATTTTGTTGATTTTTTTTTTGTCACTGTGTTATTGAAAACATTATGAAACTATACCGTTAACTAATATAGTATAGAAATTTACGTAAAAACAAATTAAGCATGTTTACTACATTGCAACTGAGTACTTTGTTAATCCATAAAAATATAACGTTATGAATTAAGTAAATAATTAGCTTGGTTCACTTTTTCAATGTTAATGGAACTGTTGAGACCTGTTCTTGTATTGTGCGGATGTCGTGCTTTATCGTTACACGTTGGTGTTGATGCTTGTTTAGTCCATGGGTCCTCTTGTTTAAAGTGTCCTCCTTGCCTACTTGTCCTCTTCAACCTGGTCCTGAGATGACCATTTTCATATTTTTTATATAAAAAATGTCCTCAAAGACAAAAAATCTTAAGAATATATCTAAAAAGATCATAACTAAAAACGCTTTCTAAATTTAAACAGTGCACGTACACATTAAAACAAAACTCTAATCCAAAAATAATTATGAAAAAATACTGTTTTTAAAAGTATAGCACATCGTGAAGTAAGCCAAAGCTCCAGAAAACCGATACTTAAGAAAACAACTCCCACAACACCTGTACGATATACATGCACATTATGCACGGCTAAGTACCTGCTGTAGAGCCATCCAGGTTTTAAACACCTTCTAAACTCGGCCCACTCCACACCAGACTCCTGAGAGCCATCTTTAAAGTTGTGTCCCAATACACAGCCCCGCAGTGTGCAAGGCAAATAGTACGACGCTACTCTCCATCAAGTGGCCCGGATTTAGCTGTTTTAATGGCCGCAGAATTACACATCTGTAGTGGCCAGAAGTGTCACCTGCCTGCCTGCCTGCGAGCCTGCAAGTTTTGGCAGGAAGCTGAGCTAAAATTATAAAGACAAGAATGAAGCTTTTGTCTTAAAGCGGTTTCTGGTATAATTCGGTTATCTTTCCCTGCTCTAAAAATAGACTTAAAATTTTTGTTTCTCATTGACTTAAAAGAAAATCGAGATTTTTGTTTACAAAAACAACTTGGAAATAGGATGATAATAATAAACAAACATTCTTATAGGCATTTCTGAAATGAAATAGAAAAAAAAAGGCGTTTGTAATTAAAACGAAATTAAGAGAAGAATATGTTAATGAGAATAGCGTAGTGCATGTGACTTTGTAAAATTACTGTTGTTTAACATCACAATATCGGCGTTCAGTTTAAACACAACCTTATTGTTTTAAAGGCTGTATAAAGTGTACTTTGTATTTCCCAATTCTTGTCGGGTACTCGATAGAGCTGAGCAGATATTGATTCATTGTTTTAGTTGAAAATTCTTTTAAAATTAGGAAGACCTACTTCAATTATTGAATTAAAGACTTATATGTGTCTATCTAAATAATGGTTGTTTGTGTCATTATGTCGTGATGTAGCAACATTGATTGTGATATGATTGTATGCCACGTTGTAGTTTTTAGCTATATATACTCTATATGTATCCTTTACTGGATACCGAAGACTTAGTAGTCCTTCCCTCCAAACTGTTCTATATTAGCTATGTCTACCTACCCAACTGCTCTATACCTGCCCTGTCTACCCACCCAACTGCTCCATGGCTGCCCTGTCTACCCACCCAACTGCTCTATACCTGCTAACCGTGTGCCCTGTCTACCCACCCAACTGTTCCATGCCTGCTAACCGTGTGCCCTGTCTACCCACCCAACTGTTCCATGCCTGCTAACCGTGTGCCCTGTCTACCCACCCAACTGTTCCATGCCTGCTAACCGTGTGCCCTGTCTACCCACCCAACTGTTCCATGCCAGCTAACCGTGTGCCCTGTCTACCCACCCAACTGCTCTATACCTGCTAACAGTGTGCCCTGTCTACCCACCCAACTGCTCTATACCTGCTAACCGTGTGCCCTGTCTACCCACCCAACTGCTCTATACCTGCTAACCGTGTGCCCTGTCTACCCACCCAACTGTTCCATGCCAGCTAACCGTGTGCCCTGTCTACCCACCCAACTGCTCTATACCTGCTAACAGTGTGCCCTGTCTACCCACCCAACTGCTCTATGCCTGCTAACCGTGTGCCCTGTCTACCCACCCAACTGCTCTATACCTGCTAACCGTGTGCCCTGTCTACCCACCCAACTGCTCTATACCTGCTAACAGTGTGCCCTGTCTACCCACCCAACTGCTCTATACCTGCTAACCGTGTGCCCTGTCTACCCACCCAACTGCTCTATACCTGCTAACCGTGTGCCCTGTCTACCCACCCAACTGCTCTATACCTGCTAACCGTGTGCCCTGTCTACCCACCCAACTGCTCTATACCTGCTAACAGTGTGCCCTGTCTACCCACCCAACTGCTCCATACCTGCCCTGTCTACCCACCCAACTGCTCTATACCAGCTAACAGTGTGCCCTGTCTACCCACCCAACTGCTCTATGCCTGCTAACCGTGTGATATGTCTACCCACCCAACTGCTCTATACCTGCTAACAGTGTGCCCTGTCTACCCACCCAACTGCTCTATACCTGCTAACAGTGTGCCCTGTCTACCCACCCAACTGCTCTATGCCTGCTAACCGTGTGATATGTCTACCCACCCAACTGCTCTATACCTCCTAACAGTGTGCCCTGTCTACCCACCCAACTGCTCTATGCCTGCTAACCGTGTGATATGTCTACCCACCCAACAGCTCCATACCTGCCTTGTCTACCCACCCAACTGCTCTATACCTGCTAACCGTGTGCCCTGTCTACCCACCCAACTGCTCTATGCCTGCTAACCGTGTGATATGTCTACCCACCCAACAGCTCCATACCTGCCTTGTCTACCCACCCAACTGCTCTATACCTGCTAACCGTGTGCCCTGTCTACCCACCCAACTGCTCTATGCCTGCTAACCGTGTGATATGTCTACCCACCCAACAGCTCTATACCTGCTAACCGTGTGCCCTGTCTACCCACCCAACAGCTCCATACCTGCTAACCGTGTACCCTATCTTCCCCAGGCTATCGAGGACAACATGAGACGTGAGTGCAAGTGTCACGGGGTCTCCGGCTCCTGTGAGATGAGAACCTGCTGGAAGGCCATGCCGACCTTCAACAAGGTCGGAGACATTCTCAAAGACAAGTTCGACGGCGCCACCGAGGTCAAGCCGCTAGAGTCCAGCCAGCTGATTCCACTGAACCCCCAGTTCAAACCCCACACCGATCAGGATTTGGTCTATCTGGAAGCGTCGCCGGATTTCTGCGAGCCGGATAAAAAAACCGGATCGCTCGGGACGCACGGGAGATACTGCAATAAGACTTCGAAAGCGATTGACGGGTGTGATTTGATGTGCTGTGGGCGTGGCTACAACACGCGCCAGGTCAAGGTCGTCGAGAGGTGCAAGTGCAAATTCCAGTGGTGCTGCAGTGTCAGGTGTAAGACGTGTGAGCGCTTGGTGGACGAACACGTGTGTCAGTGAGGAGTCGCGACCTACTTTACTGATGTGTTAGTGAGTCGTGACCTACTTCAGGTGTGTCCGTGTGTGGCGACCTAATTCAGCGGTGGCTATGTGTCGTGACCTACTTCCGACGCGTCGGTGTGTCATGACCTACTTCAAGTGCGTTGATGTGTCGTGACCTACTTCAGACGCGTCGGTGTGCCATGACCTACTTCAAGTGTGTTGATGTGTCGTGACCTACTTCAGACGCATCGGTGTGCCATGACCTACTTCAAGTGTGTCGATGTGTCGTGACCTACTTCAGACGTGTCGGTGAGTTGTGTCCTACTCGGCATTGTCGATGTCGTGCCCTATTCAAGCGGAATAAATAAAAATATTAAAAAAACATTTTTAAATGTACCATTGCCGGCACACAGGAGAACCCAGAACCTTAGCAACTCAGAGTCAAGAACACACCGTGTTTTTCGTCACCAAATGAAGTGACCGGAAGGGGCATCTGAGCAGAATCATTTCTGTGACATCAAAGCAAAATTTCTGATGACTTAAAAATAATTACAACAAACGAGCTGTGAATATCTCTTAACCTGAACGTTTACTATATATATATATATATATATATATATATATATATATATATATATATATATATATATATATATATATAGGCGTTTATGTGTATATATTATATAACAATCACCCACTTGTTGATGAAATATCAACGTGTAATGTATTTCCTAAAGATTAGTTATGCAGTTTTTCTTTTGTTTTGTAGTAGAGGATAGATATTTACACAACAAAGAGGCCATTAGGATTTATATAGAATCAGACGTACACAAAATTAAGGTATAATAACACACATCTGTTTCTTTTTCTAAGGACCAACGGATTATAAGCACAAGTTGATATGTTTTACCTGAAATTGTAAATTTTAATATTTCAAAAGTAACAAATGTTGATGAATCTGAAATACTAAATAATTAGGTTTTGTTTTGTAAATATATCATAGTTTTTATTGTATATAATTATTCGGATGGTTGTATAAGTATGCATCATTATTTGATTGAAGTAACTTTCCTTCTCGTTATTATTAACTTCTTTTTCGAGTAAGTACAGAGAATGTTTATAGTAATCAACTTTATAAAATTCAAAATAATGTTTTTAAATTAATACCTGAAACAATTATTTTTATGAGGTTTCTGTATGTGTTTTTAGCCTAGGTCTAAATATTCTTTAATGTTCAAAATTATAAAATAAGGCGTACAATTTTAAGAATTTTTACTTGAAACATTTATTTTTTGTCAAGTTTTGTTTAGGTTTCTGGTAATCCCGCAGAAGTTTCCTCAAATAATACGTTCAGAAACCAAGAGTATACCAAAACGGAATTGTAAAAAAAAAAAAAAACGACTGAATTCCAAGCTAGTTATCTTTCCTGAGGTAACTGTAGAAGTCTCGAACGGCATAAAAAAAATCTAAAAGGTAAAACCCTCAGTAGACAGGGACGAGGCATCTACGTACAGAGGAAAATATTTGGTAACAAAGAAAGGAAAAGCCAAGTCCCGAACTGTTTTCCTGCACGACTAGGAGTAAAATTCCGTCTAGGAGTTTATTGCCTTGTGTCAAAATGTCTATCCCGTTGATGATGGTAGAAACATTCTAAATCACCGCGCCGTTATGAAGATGGGGGGGGGGGGGGGGGGGGGCTCCGCAAGCCAGCAATCCCTTCCTTTCTTATTTCAATTTTTTTTCTCCTTCTAATTATGAGGGGTTTATTTTTATAGAAGCATCCTCGTCTTTTGGTCATTGATTTTCCAACAGCTACCGCTGGCGCAGGGCAGTAAAAAACGGCACGGCCAGCCATAATGTTGGTGCGTTCAACGATTTTTCACCCTCACATTGCCAGGCGCGCCGAGAAATAGCCAGCCAATCGCCGTGGTTTACGAGACTGTAATTTGCAAGCTGTAGGCTGTAGCTTCTTCATCCACGGTACAAACGGCTAGGCTGTTCATTTGAAAGCTGCAGCCAAATTTTAGCAAAAAATATTTTTTTGTAGTTTTTTTTAGCTTTGACAAATGTTATGAGTAGTTAGGTAGTCTGAAATATCATAACCATCAATAACTACACGACGTCATTATGTTTATTAATATTTACTGAACAAAACAACCTAGTCTAATACAACCATCGACATGCTATATATATATAGTATATATAAGTATTTGTATAATTAATACATGTTTATTCAGATTATTCGTAAAAATACATGATATCCAATTACTGGTAGAAGTGAAAATCACTTAATTAACCATGAGAAATGAAGTTTAGGGTAAAGATTAATTAATTCTATTTTGGTAGAACTAAATCACTTGCCTAAAATCTTTTAAACATTCATGAAAAATGATATATAAATTGTTTCTTTATGTATTTCTGGGTTTTACTCTTTAAATGTGATTTCCTTTTCAATGTTTTAATTTTTTTCATTAACTTGTCTTTCTATATATCCATATGCTATGTGTATATATGGAGGGTGAGTCACGATGTACATAAATATTATTAATTCGTTTGGATGGATGTCCATGCACACTAATTTCGGACACAATTTTCTACCTCATTGAATAATCCGAAAGTAGAATGTTTTCATACAGAAGTATTTATGCCAGAGTAGGTGTGTGTTGTGATTGAAAATGTGTTTATATGCTGTATCGAGATAAGAGATATATGTGAAACCATCATATATATATATATATATATATATATATATATATATATATATATATATATATATATAGTTTATTGTGTTTATCATAGCTGTAAAACCATGGTAATGCCCAGACAAAGTATTATTTATGACATGTTAAACTATTTCTTTGCATTGAATGTTTTAGGTCTTTATTTTAAGAATTATTTGTTGTCATTGTTTAGGATATAAAAAGTATTGTTTTTTTGTTCAAATCAACTTTAGGCTTATATTGTTTAATGACAAATCGCAATATTGGTATAGTGTTATAGTTTGCCTATATATACATATATATATATATATATATATATATATATATATATATATATATATATATATATATATATATATATATATATATATATATATATATATATAGTTTCTTTCTCACAAATCATTATTTTTTTCGTTTTTCGTTTTATGAAACTCTAGCATAAAAAATAAAATATAGATTCTACGTCCTAAACCATCACACTGAAAAAAAAATTCAGAACGCTAAATGATTTTTTTACCGTTATAGCGAAACGTAATTGATAGACAAGGCTGCAGTGTCGGTGTGTCTGCCTTCCCCTTCTAATTCTATTCCTACTATCTTCAACTGGCGCAGAGATTGTCATAGCAACGCCGCCATGGTGCAGGGGAGAGAAGGCAGTCCATCAAAAAGGTGACGTTCTTATCGTTACCTCCCTTGCACAATTGGGGCTATCTTATCAATTAATCCTGTATAACATGATTCGACGTGTTTTTTTTAAATATTGTTTATAAGTTAAAAACAGGAAAGAAATATGCAAACAGGATATACATTTAGACAAGCAAGCATCATCCTATAATCTAAACATAACTAACTGAAAGTAAATAAGTCGAATTCAAGTATTTTATTCAAAATTTTTGTCATTGACACTACTTTGAAAAAAGAAAAAAATCAGCATAGCTGTATGCTTTTGCCCTTTAGAGGCCTATTTTATCGCTTCTATTATATTTTCCAAAATATTATACTGTCAAAGACACTCGTATCCAACACACACAAACACACAAACACACACACAAACACACTGATTACAAACCAGCATTTTCAGGCCTCTTTGTTGAGAAACATCAATGTGATTTTCGTATTATTTATTGTACAGTTCGTCGAATTCGCGCATATCAATACGTTTTTTTTTACTACCATTAATGTATTGTTCGTTATTGTACATGTACATTACGTTTCAAATGTTATCGCTCCCCACTTGTCCACTGTTTCAAAATGTTATTTTCTGTCCCCCTGTTTGATTATTTTATATATTTTTTCCTCCCATAACCAGAAGGGTTTCATTACTCTATCTAAAGCTGAGTAAAACAATTTCTTTTTTGGGAATTCCAAGTTCCCGATTTAACCCACTCCGTCGCATCGCCTCCCCTTCCCTGCTTACAAAGCTCTCGAATAGAATTCATTGCTAGTGTTGCTTTAAAACTAGTAAAAATATTATTATGTTCGTTTACCTTGTTTTCTGCATTATTAAAGTATTGTTTGCAGTCATAGAAGTATACGTATAAGCACCCAGCAGGACAGACTTCCATTGAATGTTTTACTGAGGATTCAAAATCGCAATACATACAAGTAAAAAAATAGCACTTAGCACTGCTGTATACAGGAGAAATAGAAGAAGATAGTTTTGACTTAGAGAAGTTGTTTTTTTTTAAATTAATTACATTTTTTCAGAATTTGCTTTTTTTACAAATCAAGGAAGGAAGTACTTGTGAGTTTGTTTTTTCTTATTGAATAAAATAAGTCAAATTTACTTCATAAATGAAAGTCCAGTCCCATTAGTAAAATAGTTTAAGTGATAGATTTTTAAGAAAATTTAGGAAGTGTCGTGTTTACTTTTTGAAAATATCAGTATTATACACGGGGTTTTTCGCCTGTTAGTTATATGTGGATATAGATTGGTTGGATTGGGTCTTTGTGGGTCTTTTTGGGTCTTTGTGTAATTGTGGATGGCGTGGGGCCTAGAAATTTCATGTACATTTATTTTAATCCGCGTGGATTGGTGGGAATTTTAATGGATTCACACCTATTCAAACACGTTCATATTTACTACTTTACATCCGAGTGGTGTAGTATGATCCTGTCTATTCTATGTCAGTGGTATCAAACAAGTACAATACAAAGGATAAACTCAAAGAACAAAGCAACACTCACACACCCTAATGCACAGTTAGAGCGATCATCATTAGCTGTAGAAAGAAATTGCCCTAAAGTTACTATAATACCAATCACCATTAGCTGTAGAAAGAAATGGCCTAAAGTTACTA